ATTAATATTTATAACAGTGGAGGTTTGAACATAACACATTTTAAGAGAGCAATATTTTTTGATACTTACATATTTTAGAATATAATACCGTACTCGCGCGAATAAGCGCCGGGTGCTTAAAATATTTTTTCCACTTTCTGAAGGGCGCTTATTCAAACGGGGCGCTTATTTAAACGGGGCGCTAATGAAAACAAAGAGGAAATTGGGGGACGCTTATGGAAATAGATGAAAATCTAGGGGTTCTTATGGAAATTTATTAAATTCAAAAGATACCTTTTTGAATGAAAAATGTTTATATAAAAGGCATTACGAATGGGGGTGCGGCAGAAATGATAATAGTCCAGAGAACATGGTTCATGACAAGAAAGCTGTGAATATTTACATAACAGGAGAATAACAGATGCAATTAGTGGTGGTTGGTAGTGGTTACTTGTTGGCCATCGGCCGATTGAGATTAGGAGGATGGCAGGATCATTTCAGATGAGAATGCGCTGAAGGTGCAAATTGTCGGAAAAAGAAAAAGAGCAGTAGGACTAGGCCTAAACAAATATGTAAGAAGAGGAAAGTTGGAAACATACTGTCTGTCCAGGGATCCAGGAGTGGCGTGTTACAACCACCAATGTAGAAAACAACAGCTAATGTAGTAACAACCGTTAATGTAGCATACTCCGCAGCTTATGTAGTAAAACTCCCCGCTAGTGTACAAACCCTAACAGCTTATGTAGTAAGACAAAATCAACCCCCGCTAATGTAGAACGCTCAACAGCTAATGTAGTAACGAAAATTGCCTCACAGCTAATGTAACTACTATCGCCAGCTAATTATGTAGAATAGGCCTATAGTATAAAATCTTATATTAAAAGAACTTTAAACTATTACGTCCTTAAATTAAAGGGAGGATGGTCACATTTTTATAAAAACCCCAAAAAGAAAGGGGTCCAGGTCTTCCCCGGGAAAATTTTGTTGCTTAGATGGCGGAAAATGAGCTTTTTTCCGACTTCCAAGGTCTTTAAGTTCTTCAAAATTCATTCTTGAAAGCGGTCAAGTAAACTTTCTCATTCTTATTACAGTAAACAGGCCTACTTATGTGTGTATACGTACATAAAAAAATTGAGTAGTTGCAAACGAATTTTTTCCCCATGAATCGATAAACTCCAAATAGAACGGGGGTGGGGGGGAAATGTTGATTAATAGATGAAGAGATATGAGTTTTCCTGACTTCTGAAGTGTCTTTTAATTAATTTTAAATTCAAGGGTTTTTCCCTTTTGTAAACGGTCAGGTAAATTTGTCTCATTCTTATTGTAAATAAAAATTGAGTAGTTGCACATGCATTCGATGAATCGATAAACCACCAAAAGGAAGGAGGGTTGAGGGTCCTCCCTGGAAAACATTGATTCCTAGATGGCGGGAAATAAGCTTTTCCGACTTCTAATTTTTCCATTGTAACAAAAAAATTCAGCTCACGGGTCTTAAAAAGGTAGGCCTAGATTTTTTTCCCAAGGTAAGTGAACGTGACAGGGGTGGTGCTAAGAGATGGAGAATAATTTTGTCTATCGCGATTCAGGGGAATGTCACAGCATTAAGTAGTGTCTTGCAAGTCAGGGACGGGTTTAGGGGGCCCCTACCCTTTTTAGGAGGTAAAAAAAAAAGAAAAAGAAAGAAGAAAAAATGATAGCCAAGAACGCTTTAAATGTTACTTTTGGGCGTCTAGGACACACAAATTTCCCCCTAGGACGGTGTTGTCTCGATCGGCCGAACTTTCGGTCCCCACCCCCCTTTTGGACATCACAGAATCCGCCTCTGCAAGTGTGTAAATCATTCTGCAGTATGAGCTTATTCCATGTCTCCAGGTGCTCACGCTGCGCTAGTGTAGTCAAGACGATAAAACGATTAATACCTTTGCACACACCCCCTTATACCTGCAAAATGAACTCGACATCAGAAGCAGTACTACCACTCTGTTGATTCAGCGCATAATAGGGACTGCTGAAATAGGCAGTGGGTTGAGTCTTGCCATAAAAGACATGTTTTCAAACCATTTGCAATGGCAGGGACTCCAGGGGGAGGATAGCCGCGGCTCCCCCTCCCCCACTTTGTACACAGTGTTAAAATTGTAAAGCTTATTTTTGAGCCAATACAAATTCTTTCCCGGGATTACTCAAAATGTATACTGTACTTCTAAAACATGTAAATATGCATCAGTACACGTTATAC